CCAGAGCCCAGCAGTGCTGGGAGAAAGCTTTGTTCTTTGTACTTTCTCTCCTAGTTTCTGCCTGGAAGATTATATATATACAGTCACACAGAGGTGTGACAGCAGCTCCCATCAATCACCCGGCCAAGAGATCACCCCACACGAAGGCTGATTCATTAAAGCCATGCTAAAGGGGTGGGAGGAATAATTATACCCTCATCGTCCTTTTCCTTCCCTAGAACTTTCACCATTAATGCAGTTGCTTAAGTGACAATTGGCCTTGCAGCTTTGATAGGTCTACTCTCTCTCTCTCTCTCTTAATATTCCCCCCTTTCCCTTTTCTACCTCTTTCTCTTGGGTAATGGATGTTCTCTCTGTCACTTTGGGCTTTCTCTCGCGTGGCATTGCTTTTACCATGTAACTGCCTGCTGCCATGACTCTCCATACAGATCACCGCTGCAAACACGCTGCCCTGTGTCTCCTTCCTGACTCCTCTTCTCCGCCCTGCTCCTCCTGGTGGCTGCCAAAATCCACAGCTTGCCTGCCCTGATGCTTTCCTTTCAACGCTAATAACATTGTCCTCAAGCCTCTTCTGAATCCATTTCTAAAGCCTTTTATCAAGGAGACAAAGAACCCAAGGAGGGGAGCACAGCATAGTTCTGTTACTGAGGGGCTGGGGTCCCTCAGGAGAGGTAGCAGATGGTGGAACTGGGGCCCGAGATCTGGGTTGCAGCTGTTGCGCCCTCCCTTAGTCCTGGAGCTCCCACGGCCTGCTCTGCCCACGGCCTGCCCCGCCCACTGCATGACTTGTGGCAAGGAGCAAATGGATGTAAAGATGCATCTCACCATTCCAATCAGCCACCACAGGGTTCTCCACCTCGGCACTATTGGCAATTCAAGCTGGATGACCCTTTGTTGTAGGGGGCTGGACTAGGTGTTGTGGAATGCCTCCCACTAAATGCCAGTGACATCACTAAGTTCTGGCAACCAGAAATATGCCAGACGCCTCTGGAGGTAACTGCCCTACCTGAGACTCACTGACTTCGTTCTGGCGCACACAGCCGCTCACCCCTACTACCCCAATCATGGTCTTTTCTGGCCAACCAACAAATGAGGCTTGTTTTTGTCCACGTCAGCATGCTTCCTGTACTGGCCAATGCTTTATAATGAGGTGTTTGTAGCTGTCCACACACAGGCACAGTAGCTTCTCTGGGTTCTTTCTACAGGATCTTCTGCAGCAAAACTTCATTTCCTGCTACTGAATTAAACAGCGACTCCTCGGACTGGGGGAGCACTTGCCTGTAAGCCTGAGAACCTGAGCTTAGGTCTGCAGACTGACATTTTAAAGAAGCCAGGCAGCACAAGGCAGTACAAGTGTCTGTAACCGCAGAGCCTCCCTCCCAGGAGGCCGGCAGAGACAGAAGAACCACGGAAAGTCAGTGGGTCAGCTAATCTGATGTGTGAAGCTGCAAACTGGGTGGAGGGCAGGGGCCAATATCCAGGGTTGTCCTCTGACCTCTGTGTGGGAGCAATAGCACAGACTCCTACACATACACAGACCACACACACACACACACACACAC